CAGAATGGTATCATCTGATTTCACTGCAGAATCAGAAACTGAATGGTATTATCTGATTTCACTGCAGAATCAGAAACTGAATGGTATTATCTGATTTCACTGCAGAATCAGAAACTGAATGGTATGTGATTTCACTGCAGAATCAGAATGGTATCATCTGATTTCACTGCAGAATCAGAAACTGAATGGTATGTGATTTCACTGCAGAATCAGAATGTGTCGTCTGGAGATCATGTGACACAGGTAGTCTGAAACCCCGAAATCAACGATTGGAAAAGTCTTTAAAATCACGAAACATAAGCCCATGCGAACCCCCCTTCCACAAATGTTTATGATACCTAATAATGTTTAATCCTGTCATTTCACAAAGTTTGTGATTGAATCAACAAATAAATTTGCAATCATGGAAGTGACACTTGTGGACAGGATTTGAATATACACCTTCATCGTTGTACACAGTTGTACAAACTTCACAGGCACGCACGCACGCACGCACAGGAATTGTTTCGACAACGTAGAATCACCGACGGTTGTTCGAATATACTATGTGAATATTGCGGTTAAAACTAAACTATATATATATATATATAGACGTATATCTAGCTCATTGACATGAACCATCTCACAATAACATGCAGGCGTTTGTTACACCATTTGAAGACAAGTACACTGCTTGCTCGTCCGACTGTCCGCTGATTTCAGTATAAACCCGTAATTAGCATTCGAGTTTAATCCCTTACCTGAAAAACCTGTGTAACCAAAACTGCACCTACAATGTACACCGCCACACACACACACTACCTACCTACCTGCCTGCCTGCCTGCCTACTACACTGCCACCCTCCAGCACCTACAGGCTACAGTACTGTGCAACCCATATATCAACTACGTATAACCTAACCAGCGTCTATGCATAACCCCCCAAACGTAATAACCGACAATAAAAACATTAATTACACCGCCGTTAATTGCCACGATGGTAATTAGTGTTACCCAATCGACCTGCCGCAGGACGCACTCGGTCAGCGATTGTTAAAATATCTCAGGAATGTGCGCACGCGCGACCATTAGCGCTGCTGTGTGATACTGCAGCGGGTTAATGCGTCTGCAAGCTATCTGCTGTCTAGCAAGAGACCAACCATTTCAGAGCATCGCTCCGAAAATCATCGGTTGTGCGGGGCTTTTTCTTTCTTTAGGAATCGAAAACCGTCGGCTATGAATAGCACAGACTCGTTAACGCATCTGTGTATAGAGGGTACGAGGGTGGATCGCAATGACTGTGGTGGCATCGTTTCGTTTGCTCAGGACTTTATTCGCCAATCAACCTAATTGCCTCTACGGCGGAGAAAGCGAGCTCTGTTACTTGACTGTTGCGATTTTTACACAAGAAAATTTGAACAATTAACGAATTCGCAGCGTTAACATCCTGCATAGTGATTAGT